AGTCTGAACTTTTCTTCAGAGTAACACTGATTCTTAGACTGAAGACTTTTGATAACTGACACTGACACTTAAGTCTGAGAGTAGGAGCAAATCTAAGACATTTTCAGTACTTRAGTCTAAAAATCTAAGAAGTTTTCTAAATACAGGTCCAGGTATTTAACAGTTCCTGCTGATCAATGATGTCCAGAGTTAGAAAGAAAACTTTCAGAAAAAAGGGATTAGTTCATCTGATTGGACGAACAGCACCACCCAGTGGCCTGATGTGTCACATGCACACATTTGTCWGCTTTTCATTCATGCAGCTTTAATTAGAAGAAGTGTTTACTTTCTCAAACTGCATATAAAAACACTGTCATGTAAGGCAAATGTTCTTGTTGGCAAATTTTAAAAGAAAAGTTTCAAGCTGCTGTGAATAAAAGGGTGAAGGCTTGAAGCTAATAAAAAGCCACTCCTCTTACATGTTTTGTTGTTTGGTTTTATAATGGATTCTAAATCAAACAGGAGAAGCAAACATCAGACAGAAGCTCAGATTATTGTTGCTGTTGTCCAAATAAAAATGACCCTGATGGTCATGCTGCATTCACACTGAACCTGTTTTGAGTGTCAGGTTTACATGCAAAGACTATGGTGGACACACGTGTCAGGAAGTGCTGAGGTGTCTAGAGCAGCASCTTTTGAAGTGTTTGGAGCATTTGACACACGTCACACACGTGTGAAGCAGTCGACGCTGGAGATGGAAAATCTGAGTTTAGCAGCTCAAACAGAGACCCTGCTCTGTGACGTCACAGGACAGTTTCCTGAAGGATGTCCACTAACCTGAGACAGATGGACCGGAGACTGAGACATAAAAGGCAGCACGATGGCTCAGTGGTTAGCACAGACGCCCCACAGCAAGAAGGTCCTGGGTTTGATCCCCGGTTTGGACCTGGGGTCTTTCTGTGTGGAGTTTGCATGTTCTCCTTGTGCTTGTGTGGGTTTTCTCCTGGGCCCTCGTGTCTAAACGGTGCGTACGCACAAACAAGTTACGTACACCAGGTTC